AATGCAATGTGGTTGATTAGACTATCCATAAGTTGTTTATATAAGTTGTTTTGTATGAAAGAAATAAATTCTGATTGGTTTGTAATTAGTGAAGATGCTGAGATCTAGAGAGATCTGTTAGTGTTTAATGTTCTGTTGCTGCCAGTTGTCACGCCCCTGGACTCATTGTGTTGTGTTTTCCCTCCACATGTGTTCCGTGTCCCCGTTAATTAGTTATTCCATGCACCTGTGTTTTCCCAATCACCCAGTGTTTAAAAACCCTAGTCCTTTCAGTTAGTTTTTGTCGGAGATTGAACGTCTACCCATGTGTTTCCTATGCTCCTGTCTGCCCCGTGTATTCTCTTGGATGTTTGGATTAAACCTATTGTTTTCGTGAACTCCTGGTCTCCTCGTTCCTCGCTCCTCGCCATAGGCAAAGTGTGACACCAGTCGTGTGACGTTTTATTATTTTACAGTGAAGGTGTTTGAAATGCCTGTAAAACACAGTTTTAAAACAGTTTTTTCAGCTTATTTAAATTAAAATTTTATGGTTTTTGTTTGCCAGTTGGCTATTGCTGCCAGTCTTTTGTCTGTTTTATCATCTAATGGTTTTGTTATTGTATTAATTACAGATTTTTTTTCCCGTAATTTTATATACATTTGTTTGTAATTTAATAAAACAGAAAAAAATACTGTAGAAAAATACAGTAATTTTCCTGTATACAAAAATGTGAATTACTGTAGTTTGTCATTAATGTCATAATACTTAAAATAACAGCCGGGTAGTTAATTTAGAGATAATTTTACAGAGTTTTGACTACAATTTAAAATAAAAGAAAACAACCTGAAAAAAAAAATCAAAGTTATTATATATATATATATATATATATTTTTTTTTTTACAGTGATCATTGTGTACAGTTGAGATCATTTAGCACTGTAGCATACTATTGTTTGAAATGTTTATCAATTTAAAAAAGGATGTATACAGTGCTGGAAATATTGCAGTGTACTGTGCAGTAAGCAGTATGCGGTAGTATTTCATTCTGAACAAAGTCAATGTATTTGGGTTAGTCCATTTTTATCCATTTTAAAAATGTTAAGAAATGAAAATGTATTTCTTTTGTTGTTGTTTGCAAAGAGTGGTACCCTTAATCTTTGTCCAGAAAGGAAAAAAAATCAAATTTTGTTTTGATTAGGCCACATGCAAGCAGATAAAACACCCTAGCGTTCCTTTAAAAAATTAGGCCATCACATCAGCAGCAAGGCTGATTTACGGCTTCATTTATTGTTGTTTTGCTGTAGGGTGCTGCCTCCGAAAGTAATGGCTGAACTGTGGATGAGGAGCTGAGAGATTGTTATTATTTCTGTGCCACTGAGGCAGCCAGTCTTTCTACAGAGTGAGAGAAAAATAAAAGAACAAATTACTATAAAAATAAGTTTTGAAAAATAAACTTCTATACGTCTACTTCTATACCTGTGCCTTGAGTCAGAAAAACTGCTAATGATTTCATAGTAAATATTGCAGATAAGGTGGCCTTTTTGTAGCTGTTTGGCTGTTTTATCAAATCAGAAATATCAAGTCAATTTCAAGTCAAGTCAGTTTTATTTGTATAGCACTTTTCACAATGCCCATTAATTCAAGGCAGCTATACAGGAAATCGTGATGTTAAGCCTTTTTGTAGCTGTTTGGCTGTTTTATCAAATCAGAAATATCAATTTCAAGTCAAGTCAGTTTTATTTGTATAGCACTTTTCACAATGCCCATTAATTCAAGGCAGCTATACAGGAAATCGTGATGTTAATATATAATTTCTTATCATTTCTTAATATGTCTTCATGCCATATAGTCGCATTTAGCAGATTGCTGGGTTTACATATATTTTACATTTTGTGACAATATAAACAATCAAGCAGTTGAGATGTATGCTGTTTAGTGGCTTTATGCGAGCGTACTGTATGTAAGCATATAAAGTTGGATATACTTATACACTTAAAAATTTTAGTGTGAAATTACAGTATATTCCAGGTTAATAATTGCATTACTTTCACAGTAATTTCACAGTAGGACTTCTCTTGTATCTAACTGCACTTTCAGAAATTTCTTGTAAACAGCAGCACACTGTGTTTCTACAGTGATGTTTTCCCAGCATGCAATGCAGCATGAATAGATAATGCTGTAGAGTTTTTTAATTCTTGTTGGTTTTATTTGTGCTACTGAACTTGTTTTTGGCTCACTTTTAGCAGTTTGTGTTGTTTGTTTATTTTGTAATGTTGGTTTATGTCGTAAGTGTTGTTTTTATTTGTTGAGTGTTACCATTGTTGTGTTTTGTATGTCGAGTATTGATGTCACATCTTTCAAAGATGTTTCTCAGCAGATGCTTCACTATTGTGAAAGATCCATTGAAGTTATGAATATGAAATAAGATACTGATTAATCTTATGCTTAAATAAAATCTTAATGTTCATGCTAAGAAGTTTGACTATCTTAAAGTCAGGCTGTTAGCTTATTTCATATTCTAACTTAGCATAATTTTAACAAATTTACATTTGTCCCACTTCTGACATGATTAGATCAGAAATTTGAATATGAATATGCAAGGTCAAAGAGCCCAAACAAATGGGATCACAAATCACCATTATGATGACGTCAACTGACCGATGTGAGGCTGCTCTCGGTGGGTTCATGAGCGCTGAACGGCCGCTGATGCTCTGGAGCTCACATCTCTGAAAACGTCAAAATTTTTTCAAATAGATGTTATCTTTATTAACAAACTGTGTATTTGGGGCCAGATTTACTAAACAGGGCAAATTAGCATTAGAGCACAATTTCAAAACAGCGCCGATGGGCGTAGAAATTTCTGTGGTGATTTACTGACAACAGACAAATTAAAGAACACCGACACAACATCTCATTTACATATCGACCAGTGCAATTCATTTCATGAGCGCTGAACGGCCGCTGATGCCCTGGAGCTCACATCTACGAAAACGTTGAAGCAAATTTTCAAATCGATGTTATCTTCATTAACAAACCACATATTTGAAGTCTAAACAACTGCACTGTTGCCTAAAAAAACTCTTAAAACTATGTTCCGTGACACAAAAACAGTATTATTTATAAAATTATAGTGGATTTGGGCATCCGCCATGACACTCGCTCTGAGAAATACTGCAAGCGGAGTGATACAAATGGTCAAACGGTTCCTATATGATATTGGGTGAATGTCTCATGGGTGGAAAAACCTCTCGGCCAATCAGATTCGAGAACCAGAAAGAACCGTTGTAAAAACTTATATATCCAACTTTATAAACTGAGCTGTGCGGTTATATACTGTAGAAAAATTGCCAGGAATTGCCAGGATTAAAGAGTATTATTTTACAATAAATTACTGTAGTCAGAAATTCACTGTGAAATCAATGCATGCTGGGTAATTTTCTTACAAATGACTGTGAATGAACAGCAGAATGATGCTAAATTCACAGTAATTTTCTGCTCTTGTTTTACTGTGAATTCACATTATAAAGTTGTCTTTGTGCCACACTATGAGAAATTTAGTTGTTTACTGCTGTAATTGTTTTGAAGTCCCCATAATGTTGATTAGTAATTAGAATTTGTTTGGGATTGGACCTTGTATATTCATATTCAATATTCTGATCTAGTCATGTCAGAAGTGTGACAAATGAAAACATACATTTCAAAATAGAATATGAAATAAGCTAATTGCCTGTTTTTTTTTTGTTTTTTTTTAAAGTTAGTCAAACTGTTTTTATGTTAGAATTATTTAAGCATGAAGATTAATCAATAACTTATTCATAACTGTTTGTGGATGGATCTTTCACAATAGTGAAGCACCTGCTGAGAAACGTCTTTGAAAGATGTGGGATCAATACTCGACATACAAAACACAACAATGGCAACAATTAACAAATGAAAACAACACTTACGACATAAACCAACATTACAAAATAAACCAACAACACAAACTGCTAAAAGTGAACCAAAAACAAGTTCAATAGCACAAATAAAACCAACAAGAATAAAGAAAAAAACTCTACAGCATGATCTATTCATGCTGCATTGCATGCTGGGTGCCTTCAGAGTACATATGCACTGTAGAAACACAGTGTGATGCTGTTTGTTTACAATACATTTCTGAGAGTGCAGTTAGATGCAAGAGAAGTCCCACTGAGAAATGACTGTGAAAGTCATGCAATTATTAACCTGGAATATACTGTAATTTATTTCACACAATTTTCTTTTACAATGTAGTAAAATACTGTATGTATGTGGGTAAAGTTTGATATACTTATACTGTAGTAGATGTAGGTTGAAGGTATTAATTCATTATGTGGTCATATTGAGGTAAACCTGTAAGGTTTTATTCAAATGAATAACAGTTTGGTGTATTAACAAGTCTAATTACTATTTGGTGATGTGTATCATTGTCATGGTTAAATGATGCGCACAGTGTTAAAATATTGATAATTTTGCCGACCCCTAAGCAGTTTGAGGAGTTAATTGAAAGTCATGTAATGACATAACACATTGTGCATAGGACATAAAATCTTAAGTTACCTAATATACAAGCCAAAGGCAACTGTGGCAAGGAACGAAAAACTCGAACAAGAAACCAGTCATCACCACGGGGGCACGTTCTCCTCTGGCTGTGAGGGCTTGGCTGATTTACTGATAAAATGACTCAATACTCAAAATTTCTGATGATATGGTAACCTCACATACAAAACCTTGAAAAACAGAAATAAGTGCACTTAAAGTAAAGAGCATTCAGATTGCATGCTTTAGAGGTTCTGCACCAGCCAAGCAACTGCCATTGATTTACAGAGCCTAAGGCTGTCACAGAGACAAGTGTGATTTCTCACTGTTTTCCTGTTTCAGTGATGTCTGTCAGGTGATAGGAATTGTTTTTGCATGGCAACAAATTGCTTACAGCTCATTTAAATAGCTGCATCTTAGCAAAGTGTATATTACCAACTTATGTTACTCTTCTTTTTCCACAGGGTGTTTAAGAAGGCAAGTCCAAATGGGAAGGTAATATTACATTCATTTTGTCCCTTCTTCATGTCTAACAATAATGTTACAGTCAGTTGTTTTGATTCTGATACTGCAAAGGTTTTCTGTCAGTATCAGAATCAAAACAACTGACTGTAACATTATTGTTAGACATGAAGAAGGGACAAAATGAATGTAATATTACCTTCCCATTTGGACTTGCCTTCTTAAACACCCTGTGGAAAAAGAAGAGTAACATAAGTTGGTAATATACACTTTGCTAAGATGCAGCTATTTAAATGAGCTGTAAGCAATTTGTTGCCATGCAAAAACAATTCCTATCACCTGACAGACATCACTGAAACAGGAAAACAGTGAGAAATCACACTTGTCTCTTTG